CAAGTCCTTACTCCACAGTTTTAGAATGGAACGATCTACCAGAAAGGAGGAAAAGATATCATTCAGATGAATCACTGAATGATGTCAGGTTTCATAGAATTGATAGGTTTGATTTTGGCAATTATTATATATCAAGTGTCACAAATGCAAACAGTCAATGAGCTTCTTGGAAAAATTACAATTGCAAACTTTGAAAATCAAAGAAGTACTTCAGGTCTATCATTAGACGGGCAATTATTAAACAATGATCTTTTCAACCCTCGTGGACTTAGGCTAAGATAATTTTGTTCTAAATGGAGGAACGTGCAACTTCTGTGTTGAATTCCCAAAAGGGATACATATATAAAAGGGAATGAAAAGTTTCCTTACAAAACATTTCATTGCATATATTAAGAAAAGACGCTTGAAGAGCAGTCGCGGATCGGTTGTATTAAAACACGAAAACAGCTAGCACGCAAGGTGTAAATTGACATTTTCATATATTATTAAGTGTTATATGTATATGTGAATTATCTTTACTCCTCACAAAAATATTAACTGCTGGAAAGGAGAAACTTCTGGCGTAACTCTGCTACAGCATATCCTAGAAATGGTGTAAATCAGAAGTGGATTCTCAAAAACTCTAAAGATCGTTCAGAAAATTAAAAAAAAAAAAAAAATTCCCGAAATTAGAAACATCAAAACGTACGACTTCTCTACACTTTATAAAACAATTCCTCGCGATAGATTAAAAATCAGGCTTTTTGATGTCAACGACAATTGCTTCTTCAATAAAGACGGAACTCTGAAATTTTCATATTTTATTGTCATCAACAAAATTATTTTGCTAAAAAATCACTGATTCTACACAAAAGTACTCTGAAGTTGATTTTAAAAGGATGCTGTAGTTCCTTATTGACAACTTCTATGTGTAGTCTTTGGAGGCAAGGTCTTCCAACAAACTGTTGGAATTTCGAAGGGCAGTAATTGTGCTCTTTATTAGCCAACCCGTTTTTATATTCTTATGAAGAAGAATCTATTCAAAAACTTGAAGAAGAAAACATTTGCTGTGGCCTTCAAATCCACATTCAGATATATCGACAACGTTTTTATCAATTAACAATAGATACTTCCATTCATATGTCGACTCGAAGTATCCCAGTGGGAAACCAAAGTAGACTGCAACATCTGTTTCATATTTGAATGTTTTACTGACAATAGTCGACAAGCTTCAACAAACAACTAAATTATTTGACAAACGAAATGATTTCACCTTTTCCATCGTCAACCTCCCTTATTTATGTAGGAATGTTCCACTTTCATCTGCATATGGTGTTTACGTTTCCAAACTTATTTGATACTCAAGAGTATGCTCCGAGTACGATCAAGTTGTTAAACCGATGCAGACTACTGACAAATAAGTTGATGCTACAGGGATTTCCACAAACACATTTAAAGTCATCATTTTGTAAAACCTATGGTTGCTATAATGATCTTTGTAGCAAATATAACATCATTAGGTCGTATTTTGGCTGACGTATTTCTTAAAATATCGTTGGCATTTTATACTAAATTTGACCACGGAATATTCCGTCTACCTGATCAATACATTGTGCTCACAGCGGGTATGAGCGGTCGACAGAGGATGGGTACTCCAGTCCTCTTAGGCACCTGATCCCACCTCTGGAATTTCCAGGATCCGTGTTTTATGCCCTGTTCGCAGATTCGTATTTTTGTAGATGTTTCAGACGATCACTGTTTGTTATCTTCAGCTTTTTCATTATAACTGTATTTATTACATTTTCAACAGAGAAGCATTGTAATTTATCCCTTGTAAAATAGTGATATTTTTGCAAGTGACATTTTCACACTGAAAATATCAAAACTGATTGAAAACATAAAAATCGCGGCAAAACTCGAGAATTTACTTCCCTTCACGAAGAGTGTTATTTAAAAATTACCCCCTATAGATAGCTCGAGTAAATGAACCACCCTGAAACAAACTATAACTGCTAAAGTGTTTCCAAATTGTTGCTATATTCAATCTTTACAATATTCAATCTCACAATCGTATAGCTATGACATCTCACACGGCACAGCCAACAATATTGCGTAAGGAAAATTGAGGAAAGCCGGAGATTATGTACTTGACAAGTGATAAACAGAAAATTCGATTTTGTGAAGCAGGATTTTTTTTCATAATCTCACTAGTGCTTCTCACTCCTGAAAAAAAAAATCATAAAATCCTGTCCCGCATGTTAAGTAATTTCCATGTCCAGCAATAAAACATTAAATATTCTCTATTATTGTCTTTTACATAAACCTGAAAATGAATATGTCAATGCTACTTTGATTATATGATGTACGGTTTTTTCTATTCTGGTCAAAATTGTGATCTTTACAGACGAAAGTAATCTAGCTCAAATTAAAGATTAAATTAAACATTATAAATTGTTAGCAGATTTAACAAGGACCTCTGAAATCGTGAGGGCTGGGATCAGATGTCATGGAGGAATAAGCATCCCTTATCGAGTAGTCAAATCCATTGTGATCCCATTGAAACAGAGTAACCTGTAGAGAATTCTGATTGAAAATAATGACCAACAATGCACATTAAAATCTTCAGTTAACACATATTCAACTTAAAGAGGTTATATACGCGTAAAAGACCGTTAAAACGACTACAGTTTGCTAAATGTCGACTTTAAATGATTGTAAAATAAATAACTTTAACATCAACTTTTTGTCTGTAGCCTGCCTCGAATTAGAAATTAATCGTACGCTGAACATGCTCTTGAGTATCGAATCAACTGGGAGACGTATACATCATATGCAGGTGACTGCTACATAAATAAGGGAAATTAACGATAGAAAAGTTGTTCAAAGTAATCATATTTATTATTTAGTTGTAATAGTTTGCCATCAATTTACTTCAAGTTCAATGGGATATATCAATTCAGTGTATAAATGAAAATGAATATCGTTTATTTAAATCATTGTTGATATGGGTTGATATATCTAAATATCAAATTGAAAGACCATAAGAGATCCTTTCTTTTCATTTAGTTTTTTATTACTAACTCTGGTTCTGGTCTCCCAAAACTATAATAAACATTGTCAATGAGGAACTGCAAAATCTTTTTATCAACTTCAGAGTTTTTGTGTGAAAAATCAAATTGATTTTTACCAATTTTGTAGATGACCAACCTCTAAGTTTAGATTAGACTACATAAATTTTTTTTGAAGTAGTTGTGTACGATGTCAAAAATTATTGAAAATGTATCACATTGATGAACATTCTATACATCTACCTTTATACTTACATGATCCTATATGGAATTATTTAGGTCACTGATGTAGTTAAGTAGAATTGATGCTATTGGTAGTTTATATCAAGTCTGTAGTATACGGGGAGAATAGCCTTACAAAGTAATTTTGATTTGTAAATTTTCGTTTAGAAGCTTCCCCCCTGCAATCTTTTGTTTAGTTTTGAATGTATTTTATTGACAATATATGTCAACGGGATTGGAGATATATAAATAACGGCCACTAGCTTGTGGTAACAACCTTTGTAAATATTTCATTTTCTATAAATGTACACAAGCATTTCACTTTCACACGTGTACAAATATGTATATATATAGCTAATATGTATTTTGTATGTTATTCTTTTTGCATAATTTTGTGTTCATTAATCACTGCAAAGTGGAAATAAAGTATGAATGAATGAATGAACACTAAACTTAAACCATTTTTGTCAATTATCCGTGAATAATATTCTTTACCAAAAAGCATGTTTTCCTTTAATTTCCTCTGTTTGTATGTTAATATCAAGAAACAAAAGATTTTATAAAAGGTCTATTCACAAACAAACTATACCTAGGATCGGTTCCAGAGAATTCTTCAATCTTTACACGTTCATATGCATTGATTTTACCACAATATATTTTCACGTTCAAAGTACATTTTTTATAGGTTCAGGCACTCAACTGCACCATTGAGCAAGTAACGAGTGCAAAAAAAATGTTGCGTCAAATGGGTCTGTCAATGTCATGACTTATTTATAAATCTCAAATAAAAAATAAGGAAACGAATATGAATATGCTCGCAATGTATCAAAATCCTCAGTCTACCAACAATAAACTTCTTGGGACCTTGGGCCATAGCGACGAAGTTTTCTGTACATGCGTACAATCAAGTGGGGTAGAGAAAAAATTTTAATATTGAACCATGAAGTAAGAATTTTTTCGCTATTAAAGGAGATATTTTATGTTCTGAAATCTTCAATTTCATGAATCCTGAATATTTAACAAAACTTGTGTAAACCATGCAAAAGCTAAGATAGGCTAAGACCCCATTTTGGCCCCTTTTTTGTGGTGTCTTTAATAACTGTGCGATAGTTCATCATCAGAAACCACTTGTCTTCCATCATACAAAATGAGTATTGAATCAAGTTACGGGGTACACAAAGGTCGCGGGAAGGTCACAAAATATGCCAATTTCCAAATTTTCTCATTTTTATTCGAATTTTCATCAATTTTATAGCACATTTTGTTTCATAAAATACAGACCACAAGCTAGCCTATCTACCAAATTTATATATGTCATGCACTAGTATCAGGTGCATCTTGTGTATAAAAATCTCAAATAGGCAAGCTTGTGCTCTATGTTTCCCAAAGTGAAAAGTATCTCAAATTTGACAAAATTCCATCAGACTTCAGGAAATTCGGTAAATTGTCCTACTTTGGTGCCCTCTTGTGGCTCCTCTGTACTCTTTGAATAAAAATTGGTGCTGGTTTTCAAACATGCAACATTTAAAGTTTTTAAATACAAACTATCCCAATTTTAACTGTGTCTTGATTTTCCTGCCAAATCAGGGGCCAGATTCAGCTATTACCATACCTTGTCCTTTCCCATTTTTTGGGTCAAGTGCATATTCCTGCTATTTGCAAAATATTCAATGATGAAGAGTTCAAATTAGACTGAACATAAACTTAAACATAAAACAGATCAAAGCCATATTGCATTTCATTAGTATTTACTATCACTGTTCATGAAATTTAAGTGTGAATTTCTGTTAAACAGGTTCATGCGTCAATATGCCATAAATTAAGCTTTAAAGACATCTAATCAATTTTTACAATGCCATTAGAAGTCTTGTGTTAGCTCAGCTGGATACTTGGTGATTGTTAATGCTTCTATTTTGTAGACCACTAAGTCACAATGTCTTTTTTCATTTTCACTCATGTTCAACTCCTTCAACAAATAATTTGTCACCATGCAGGCTCTTCAAACATTTTCTGTTCATTTTTTGTTTCTGTAAATGAAAAAAAATAAAATAAATGAATGACAAGGAATGAATATTTTCTCTTATTATAAATGGCTGTAAACATGCAATCATTAGGACATACTGGACAAGAAAAATTTAAACATTCTTCATGGGAAGTGCATTTATAAAATTCTTCATGAAATACCAAAAGTATAACCCATGAGAGATCTGAATTTGTGACCATTAGATCACAAGCTGATGCTATAACTGATTGAGCTACAGGGTAAAACAGTAAGAAAGACGAAAATAATACAATTTTTTTATTATTTCGATAGGAAGTACATCAAATAACCTCCTTTAACAGTTTGTACTTTTGTTCATATTTCAGTGAACTTTTTAATATTATTGAATAACAAATAAATCAATATCCAACCTTTCTACTTTCAGGAAGTATGTTTGGTGCAATCAAATATTAAAAATGTCAATACCAAATGTTTCAATATACTTGTTAAATTTAAAGTGCAACAGACACAGTGCTTTTTCATAAGTAAAACAGCAACATTGTCAACAAGTCCCTGAACATTAGACAAAACAAAGACATTACCACTAGTGCTGTCAGGAGCAAGATCCTCCTCCTCCATTTTTTCTCCATTTTCTTCTGGCGTGGGTGGGGTTATTGACCTTGATCGAGACACAAATACTGGAGCACTGAAATCATATAAAAATACATGCAAGTCATTGTCACAGGACTAAAAATTCCTGACTTGGTATATCTTATACATGAGAAACTACAGGCTTACTCAACATTGAGGGGCTTTTTCTTCTTGGGTTCCTCCTCTGTTGAGTCTGCCGAATGTGGACGTTTTTTGGATTCCCTCTCTGGCAGACCATATTTAAATAACTCAAATGTCATTATTTTGTATGGGCTGTCCCTCTTGCATAGTGTTGACATAACTAATAAATGTAGAATTGTACAAGATTGTGTATGTTTGCAATTTATGATTTCACATTTAGACAAAAACTTGGCAATGTTTCTTTTGGTTTTGACAACTTGTTTTTATATAAAATTGGCACTGTCTTATTCATGATTTTATAGTGATTTCAAAATAGTGTATACCTGAGGAGGCTTGGTCTTTCTTGTAAAGAGACACAAAGGCTGAAGTATCATCTATCCAGTTAATGCCAACATTTCCTATAAAATAGTAGACAAAAAAATCAATTCTTCAATAAATAATTCAACTTAAAGGAAACTTTTTTGTTGCATAAAAATAATACTAAAGTCTTGTTACCTGTTCCAAAATACACTCAAGTTTGCTTACCAAAGGGAGAGAACAGCTGATAAAGATTGGGTGCCTTCCATTCTTTAGGAAATGTGACATGGAAAACATGGTCTCTGTTAGGTAATACTATACAAAAGCAAAAATAAATCAAAAATTTTGATGAACATAAAAAAAAATAATTGAATATCTGGTCCTTTAAAAATGCTACCACTTCTAAATTCAAGTCAACTTTACCATCTTCTGCTGTTAAATCTAAATATGGAATATCTGGTATCCTCATTAAGAAAAGTCTGAAATGAGTATAAAATTTAGAATTTAGTACAGAAATCTAAAGTAAAATTTAGTATAAAATGTGCTAAGAGCTGGTTAAACAATAAATAATAAATGATGTACATGTATCTATTATGTATGTTGTGGTAAAAAATTATATACAACAACTTACTTATTTATGAAAGGTTTTACTAATGGAGCATCAGATGAAACATGGGTAACAGGGGGATTTTGAAGACTTCCTATAAAATTTGTAAATAAAATTAAAAAAAAATCTGCATTCTAAATTCATTTCTTTAATATGAGATTTCTATATTTCCTTGGATTATTTCATTATGAAATATTCTGCTCAAGGCTTACCTAGATAATCGGACATTCCTGTAAAACATATTCCAGTAATATATGCATCATAAGCTGCTTCATGTAAATTGCTGTCTTCTAGTTTGTACTGGGGAAAGTCTTCAGGTATCACTATAAATTAATGTAAAAACTGTTACACAGAGACTGGTATGTACAACTAATGTAAACAAATAGTTTCCAAATTTTACTTGCACAATTCTGAAAGTTTTGAGAGGTCAATTTTTTTTGCTTTTAAAGCATTGCAGCTAGGGGTTAGCCTGTTACTTTAATTCTACTGCAAGCTTTCAGTTTTTATATCCAGTAAGTGAAATGTCAATATCTCAATATGACAGGCAAATGTACCTACCAACTTCTGGCTTTTTGAATGGTGTGCAACTAATTTGTTTCAATAGATCCCCCAATACTGAAATGGGAACTACTTCCTACAATGCAACATAAATACATAGAACAAAAACAGTGGTCAAGGACAAATTAATTCTAACAAAATACTGTGCTTTCATTAATTTTTATGGGGATCAAATTTCATGGTTTTGGCAAAATGACAATTTCATTAATATGTGAATTTTTAGACGATTACCTCATCCTATTATATAATTAGGAAATTTGAAGTTCATTGATCACCTAATTTAATGGTCTGGCTCAACCACATAAACAAGGAAAATTGTTCAGTGAAATAAATGATGAAACTAGAGTAAAAGTCTCACATCATGATGTACAGATTGACATAAATAAACTCACCTTACAAGGTGATGTATTCGCCATGAGCTTCGTATCCAAAATTCTGCAGAGTTCAAATAAAATTGACTTACCATAAAGATTGGAACATATTTTATATTGGATAATCAAATAATTTCTACAAAAAAAAAAAAAAATAAATAAATAAAGGTACACATACATAAGTTGTGAAATACTTACTTTGGAAAGACACATTTTGTCAAAGCTTTGAATTCTTCATAATTCTGGAAAGAGAAAACACATTTAGATTTAAACAAAATTAGGTACAATATATTAATTTGGTGACAGATATCTTAAAACCATTCAGATTAAAATAAGATGACAATGATAAAAACCTCAGGGAGTGGGGAGCAGAACCTGTGTAACAAATGAATCACATCCAAAAACATGTTGTGGCCAACAACCAGCTTCCCCTGCAACAAAGAGAAAATGCATATAAAGTTGATTTCTTCATGTAGTACAATGTACATTATAAGTACATGTAAATCTGCTTTTCAGGATAACACAATGGTCACCAATGCATGATAGTAATGATACTCATTCAAAGACACTAGTCTGAAGATCAGTTGGAACACACAGTTTTAATTATTATTTAATTTCTATTATTCAGGTTTGTGGTTATTTAAATTTCTACTAACACTGTATTTTAGTTATTATGAAAGAAAGCAACTTACACCCTGAGAAATCATTCTAATAACTTTTGAAAATCCTACAGCTTCTTCAATTTCTGCCTGTCAAGTAAAAGACATCAAATATGTAACTAATTAAATTAAGAAGAGAAAGAGGTCTCCAGAACATCAATTTCAAAAGGGGGTGGGGATTAAATAAATCTAATCTTTTGTTTCAAAATTTTTCTGAGTACATCTTGATTAAAATTATAAAAAAAATTATAAAAATTTTCTGTTACAGATAATTCAAAAATGAGTGAGATAATAACCAGTTCTGCTGCTTGCTTTTCCTCCTCTTTTTTCTTCATGTCCTCCTCTGTTTTGATTCTAGTGACTAATATGAACCGTTGTTTCTTTTCATCTGTTTTAGCGGCCAAGTGAACCCCAGACTGAAACCTTAACAAAGAACAACCTATAAATAACGGAAAAAATTTACTATGCCAAACCATGAGAATGCAGTAACTAAGGAACTAGAAATAAATAACGCAAAAGATTTACTATGCCAAACTATGAAGATCAATGCAGAAAATAAAGAACTAGAATTAAATAACTAAAAAGATTTACTATGCCAAATAAGAGGATGCAGTAACTAAGGAACTAGAATCAAATTTATTTAAGATATGTTTACAAAACACTAACATACTGACTGTGAAGACAGGTTTTTGTAAACAGAATTCAAGTGACTTTATGAAGTACCTTTGCCTGACAGTCTGGTAAATGAGTTTTCTCACAAATCCATTACAAGGTGGCAATGGCAGAGTTTCTTCCCCTTCTTTGTCTAAAAATTCCTGAACAGTATTGCTGTAAAAGTGTTGTTTTTTTTAAAGAGAAGGTGAAATCCTATCTAATACTAGAACTGTCCAAAGGGGACAAATACCCCCCACTGGGTTTTTCAGAGAATGTTTTCTAGATGTGAGAGGTGTTCACAATTTGCTTAAACATTTAGAGTGAAAATTTACTTACTCATTAAATTTTTTTTTAATGAATGAAACTAAGGTGCAGCCTAATTAAACATCAATACTAATAATTACAGTGTTTTTTATTACATTGAAAAAATAGTTTGCAACTATCTGTCATCTTTGTGAGACATGACACTCTGCAAATCGATTGTTGAAAAAAAATTTATCATAATTAATTATACAAAATCAAATTGATCTTAATACCTTTATATCAAACTCATTTTAAAAATAAAAGGCTGTTTCCAGTAACTATGTATTTTGACAGACATAAATTACAATTAAGAGACTTAGACAACAGAGATCTTTATTTCTTTCTGCCCAATTCCCAGGAAATATAGATAAGACCTGCTTGATCAGAGATGCCCTAACAGCTTCCCACACTGAACTCATTAATTAATCTTTAACTGGATGCATGTCCATTTATTACTCCCAAGGGACAAATGGATTTACACTATCTGCTGTGTAATGTAAAAACTGTTTTTAATACTTTGTAATCTTTTTTTTAGTTCTAATGAGTTGTTTTAAGCTGTAGTTCACATTTTTGTACAGATGTTCTAGATTCTATGTCTCAAACCTTAGACATGAACCCGAAATGACTAAGTCAATAAAAAATGAAAAAAAAAACAACTGTAAAATGCAGAAAAATTATCAAATAATGTTGAAAATACCAGGTGCACATCTTCATATGGTAAATAATAAGTGTACAAATTTTCATACAAATCTATGCAATAGTCTCTGGGAACAGATCCGGACAAAACCACATAATAAAAATGAAAAAAAAAACACCTGTAAAATGCAAAAACATTATCCAATCATGATGAAAATAACAGGTGCACACCTTCATATGGCGAATAATAAGTGTACAAATTTTCAGACAAATCCTTGCAACAGTTTCCAAGAAATGGTCCGGACAAAATCTCGTCTACAGACAGACGGATAGACGGACAAGCTGATTCCAAAATACCCCCCCTAAACTTCGTTTGTGGGGGTTATAAAAATGTTGAATGTTTGATTCTTTTATCCTTAAAAAATGAGAGAGAAAAAACATTTTTAGCACTTATTGCATGTATATATGCATATAAAATTAACTTCATAATATTCAAGAGTTAAAAATAAAATTACATTAAATTTAAAATAATACTTCAAAATAACTAGTGAATTATTTAAATCTTTGATAAGTGAAATATTTAGGTCTACATTAAGAGTGGAACAAGTACTGCATATTTTTCAAGACAATGTCTATAATCTGAAACAAACCATATGCCCTCTATGAAATCTTTGTGTTCTTCAGGTATGTTAATGGGGCCCTTTGTTGTCACAGCCTCTGCCCCACTGTCTGGTGTGACGAAGGCTGGGGAGGAAAAGTGATTGTACTGTTTGTTTCTTTCCTCCAAGGAGTCTCTCAACTGACTCTCCTGTGTTGAAGTTAAGTATGGTATACCTGAAATACAATATATCTGATCACTGTCAATTATCAGTTTCATTACAGAATGACAATCTTCAAGTTCAATACTTGGAAAAAATGAACTATCAAACTCACATTTAACTTTGATTATTGACATTCAGAATCATGACACACAAGTTAGATACAATCTTAGAATAGAGTTTTAAATACCTTCCTTAAATGTCTTATTGAAGTCAAAATTCTGAGATGCAAGAAAATCAATGCTTGAACTCTGTAAATAAAGGCAAAATAAATTAAGATATTTTTTTTTCTTTCTTTCTTTTCCTTTTTTGGATACAATCAACTTCTTACTTTAACTTTAAAATATGCATATAGCTTTACTCTTTTTTTTAGAAAGATTTAGAATTTTTTTTTGTCTTGATTATGTTTTAATAATGTTACCTGGCACAAAAATCTGCAATCTGGGGCAGCCCTGGAGTAAGGTCTTGGGAAAACATAAAAATTAAATGGTCTTGCTTCATACCTAAAATGAGAGTTTTACATGTACTACAACAATATATAGATGTAAACAATCATTTTTTCCAATTAAATTCTTATGCATAAATTAAAGTATGTTTAAACTAGAACTGTCCAAAAGGGACAAATACCCCCCGCTGGGTTTTTCAGAGAAGGTACCAAATCACTAATGTTTTCTAGATGTGAGAGGTGTTCACAATTTGCTTAAACATTTAGAGTGAAAATTTAATTACTCATATTTTTTTTTAATGAATGAAACTAAGGTGCAGCCTAATAAAACATCAATACTAGTAATTACAGTGTTTTTTATTACATTGAAAAAATAGTTTACAACTACATTATCTGTCATCTTTGTGACACATGACACTCTGCAAATTGATTGTTGAAAAAAATATATCATCATTAATTATACAAAATCAAATTGATCTTAATACCATTATATCAAACTCATTTTAAAAATAAAAGGCTGTTTCCAGTAACTATGTATTTTGACAGACATAAATTACAATTAAGAGACTTAGACAACAGAGATCTTTATTTCTTTCTGCCCAATTCCCAGGAAATATAGATAAGACCTGCTTGATCAGAGATGCCCTAACAGCTTCCCACACTGAACTCATTAATTAATCTTTAACTGGATGCATGTCCATTTATTACTCCCAAGGGACAAATGGATTTACACTATCTGCTGTGTAACGTAAAAACTGTTTTTAATACTCAGTGATTTTTTTTTAGTTCTAATGAGTAGTTTTAAGCTGTAGTTCACATTTTTGTACAGATGTTCTAGATTCTATGTCTCAAACCTTAGACATGAACCCGAAATGACTAAGTCAATAAAAATGAAAAAAAAAAAAAAAAACACCTGTAAAATGCAGAAAAATTATCAAATAATGTTGAAAATACCAGGTGCACATCTTCATATGGTAAATAATAAGTGTACAAATTTTCAGACAAATCTATGCAATAGTCTCTGGGAACAGATCCGAGACAAAACCACATAATAAAAATGAAAAAAAAAAACACCTGTAAAATGCAGAAAAATTATCAAATAAAGTTGAAAATACCAGGTGCACATCTTCATATGGTAAATAATAAGTGTACAAATTTTCATACAAATCTATGCAATAGTCTCTGGGAACAGGTCCGGACAAAACCACATAATAAAAATGAAAAAAACACCTGTAAAATGCAAAAAAATTATCCAATCATGATGAAAATATCAGGTGCACACCTTCATATGGTGACTAATAAGTGTACAAATTTTCAGACAAATCCTTGCAACAGTTTCCAAGAAATGGTCCAGACAAAATCTCGTCTACAGACAGACAGACGGACATGCTGATTCCAATATACCCCCCCTAAACTTTGTTTGTGGGGGGGGGGGGGGAGGTATAATAAAAAATATCAAAACCAGATATGCTTCTATTATTACAAACACCACAGAATTTTTCAAACAAGAGTAGAAAGATTGTAAATAGTGTAATACACATGCATACCGATCTTTTGTTTGTTCATGTTTTAAAACAATAAATTTTGCTTTTTTTGCTTTTACTGCCTGTAAGCACATTAATCTCACTTGCTGTTTTCTTCATCATAACAAAAGGTACAAACTCCTACTTGAAACACCAAAAAATCACTTGATCCCTACAACAAAACATATTTTCTATAACATGATGCAAAAGATATAATTTAAAGAAAAAGTACATAATTCATTTGAAATAATATGTCATATAAAAAGAAACAAACTTATATTTGAATGAAATGCACAATACAAAGTAATTTGTATATGACCTCAAAATGACTAAAGTAAAGAAACTTATTTAAGAAAAAAAGTGGAAATTAAACCTTTCTCAGTTTCTGGTATCTCTCTTCAGGTGTGTCAAGGGGTGATATGTGAAAGGAGCTTGATGCATGAAGGCCTATAAATAGTATGTCACTTGAAATGTTATTAAAAAAAAACACTTTTGGACCAATTTCATTTAAAAAAAACATATCAAGGTATACTAACATGTACTTTATATTTAAAATGTACAGATGATAATTTATTCTGCATAAAAAGTTTTAACTCTACATTAGGCCTACTTTTGGCAGTGTCTATATGCACGACCGTCGTGCACTTACTTTTTCATCGGCTATTCGCACGACCGTCGTGTATATAATTTTTCAATGACTATTTGCACGACCGTCGTGTATATAATTTTTCATTGACTATTTGCACAACCGTCGGGTATTGTATTTATTTATCAGCTGTTCGCACGACCATTATCTTTTACATAACACACCAACTTATTATGTCATTCGTTGTTTCGTCCCCAGTTAAGTTCGGCACGCAGTGATTTAACTGATTTAAGCCTAGAAGCATTTTAGTAAGAAAACATTAGAAAAACTTTTTTTATAATGTTAATTTATATGCTAAAGTGACATATAGATCCAATGGGCCGGTCGGTGTAATGTAAATCTGTTTCTATTAGAACTGCCCTTGTAAACGTCACTATCTCTCTTATAATGTATAGTGGGGTATTTTTTATGTGGAACGATTATTTAGGGGTTTTCACGAGTTTTTCCTATTGTACACATGATGAATAAGTGTAATAAATATAAATTTTTGAAAAAAAATGTCCAAAAAGCCCCAGGTTGAATATCGGGGGGGGGGGGGGGGGGGGGGGTGTCCTGTCCACAAGTACCTGTGACTATAACAAAATGTTTACCTACTATTCTGATAGGCTTGCGGTTTATCCTCTCCACCTCAACCTAGTCCAAGATATCTGACGTTTTCCAGGCTTTTTTTTTTTTCAAGCAATTTTGATATTTGATGTTCCACCAATTAAAAAGAGCCATAGAACATTGAATAAGCATTTTTCCTACTTTAGTAGTGATTTCTTAAATACACTTTTTAACCAAAATTTTGTCATATAACCTTAGTTATTACACAAGTGTTATCTCAAATTAAACAATAATGATATTCATATGTTAATACATATTGTAGTTCCCTTGTATAATAATTATAAAAATCATCAAGTTTGTATGGAGTATGCAAGTAAATATTGAGGTATATCTACCTAAAAGATGACAAACTGTTGACAAAGACCACTCCTAACTAGAAAAACAACATTTGAATACCGGGGTAATTTTGTTTATGACGGCACTTTATTTTGGTTAAGGTGAACATTTATATATATATTCATTTTTCCTCTCATAATATTTTAAGATTTGGCAATCTGTCTTAAATTTATCATTCATTATCAATGACTTCGTGGCGCAGTGGTATGATTGCTGAAATGTAAATGTGGTGATTCGAGTTTGACCTCAAGATTTTTCCAGTTGAAAATATAACACTCGTCCGCAAATGATATTACATTGGTTGAAAGTACTGCTCACGTTCAATTTTTTTTATGTCATCAATTTGGTCATCAATATATCATCGAAATTCTATGGCAGATCCAGAATATAACATGTGTGAGTGAACTGTGTGGTTGAGGGCCGAAAGGATGGTATAACCCAGGAATGTAACTTAACTACCGATTTCAGCGCGAAACATCTCACGTTTTATTTTAAATATTTAATCACATTTTGATCCGTTTTAAATTATTTATCAAATATAAGATATGAATATGTTGTGTACTCTAATTCATGACTTAATAACATGCACTACTGCCATAGTTAATGGATCGTACGGTGCCCGTTTGTTTCATGGCCGTAGGAACCGGGGGGCACGGGGGTGGGCTGTGCCCCCCCCCCCCCCCCCAATAATTTCGCCGATATATACATTACTACAGAAAACATAGCTACCATATACTTGTGCCCCCTGAATAAAAACGCCTGATGACTTTTTTTTTTTCTTTTTTTGGTTGATAGTGCCCCCTCAATTGAAAATGTATGGCTGTGCCCCCTCAAACTGAAATTGCTTCCTACCATGCCTACGGGCCTGTGCTTAGCGTGTCTGTTCAACAATTCAACAGTGATTCAATGGGGATTTAATTGTAATAAGTTGGAGATCAAAAGGTGAGAATTGAAGTTGATGTGTGGGTTGTCCAAGCCAGCAGTAATTACTTAATTAGATGGCGGTATTGTAATTATCTACTGTATATATACGTAATTAGCACAGTATAATAATAATTCATAATTATGCTATGTATGTACACTTCAAACTCAGACATAAATAATTTACGTCTCTGCTTCAAATATAATCTTCTTAAATTAAATAAAATGTTCCAAAAATATCTATATTTACATATATTTTAAAATCTAAAATTTTGTTAAATGAACTAAACTCAGTAGCAAAACAGAATGGGCGCGAAACATCGCGGAGCGAACCATGCATAGGTGCGAAACATCCCGTTACCGCACAGGTCGGTCGTGTATATTATGCATATAGCTATTACCGTCGTGTGCATATCTCTGGCAATGTGCGATTGCTATTTGCACGACCGTCGTGTAAATAGATTTTTTTCTTACCTATGTGCACGACGGTCGTGTATATATCTCAGCTATTTGCAATAGCTATTCGCACGACGGTCGTGTAAATAGACTTTCTTTTCTATGCGCACGACGGTCGTGTATATATCATCGGCCCCTACTTTTACTAAAATCATAACCAAGATTAATCAATCACGATTTTCTTGGTTACTGTTGTCAATAAGCTTTCTGCTTTCAATCGAATATGATGAAACGCTTAATGGAATTCTATTTCAATGCCATCTAAACGCATTCAATAATATAGATCTATATTCTTACCTGAAAATTCTGTGTCAACACAGATGAAGTCAGCTTCAGCAATGGCCTTCTCGACTTGCGGAAGAATGGATTGAAAATCTTAAAAGAATAATGTGTAATATTTAACAAACACATTTTGCTCTAGTATATTTTGCTTTATTTATTATTATTGCTACAGCGCTCAAGATATTATTGTGTTTTCACTTACTCTTTCTCGTCACTTCCATCGTCAGTTTGATCAGAGGAAAGTGCGGCAAATGTTAAGACCGCTTATGACATTTAATTAGGAAACGCAAATTTAATATCATTTTTATGAGTAGACATACAATTCATTCATATATCCTTTATAAAATTACATCGATATAAAAAAATTACTGTTCATTTTATCCATCTTTAATACATAATTTACCCTAAAAAAAATAGATAAACATATATTGTTAATGCTATAAGCAATAATATTAAAGTGAAAGTAAACAAAAACCAAAAGTTGGTGAAGTTGGAAACAGGATATTTTCAGTATTGTTTTAAAAGTTTTGTTGGCGTCGGCTGATTTACATTGCATTGATAGTTGGTAAGTATGTTTTACAACATTTTACATTTTGAAAACTTTAATTTTTTAAGTTAAATTTGCATAAACTGATAAATAGGCTTATGATTAAAAAGGATAAGACGTCTCTATCCGCCTTAGTAATCGTGCTACTGAAATGCAGTATTGTGGGTTTCTTTAGCGGGTGTAAAAAAGACGACGTTGCCCCCCCCCCAAAAAAAAAAAAATGATGTTCATCTTTTAGATAAGTTTCCAATATGGTTCAATACGATTTACGCAAGAGTGTGAGTAAGACAACAGTTGAGAAATATATCCTTAATGTTTAACAACTGACTGATCAAAGTTATTTCATGTGTTTAGTACTTATACACAATGGTGGAAATTTAGCAGTTTAATTTTTAGTGGAATACTAACAAATCACTAAAATAATCCAAAGTTAGTGCCCCACTAAAAAAATTTGGAAGTTCAGATGATTTCTCCCCTTCTTTTTAGTACAAGAATTCTCTCATTTGAAGTGATGCATGTGAGAAATTACGATCTACAACAAACACATGATGATGCAAACTTAGCGATTTTTGAGTGTCATACTGTGTTTTTTAATATATCTTATAATAATCTTTTTGTTTTTTTTAATCCAGAAATATCATGGCTGATGATGATTCTGATGAATATCATTCAGATGATGCAGATAGATCAAATAATTACTTTCACCGTCAGGGGTCCTTGGAATCTGAGTTTATCTGTGGTTGCTGTTCGGACCTCCTTGTCCAGCCAACTACATTGACCTGTGGTCACAGCTTCTGTCGACTCTGCCTAGCACAGTGGTTCACTCAGTCCAGAAAGAGAACATGTCCCCTATGTCAGCAGCCATATGTAGGAAGTCCCAGTGTTAACATCACAATCAAGTAATTACCACTGCACTGCACATATACTTGTGCATGACAAGGGATTTTTTTCTCATTTACACATGTATATATTTTAAATATATCTAAATATAATTTCTTTTATGTATAGAAATATCATGGCAGATGACGATTCTGATGAATATCATTCATATCATACAGATAAATCGAATAATTAATTTCACTGTCATGGTTCAGGGGTGTGCAATTAGCATCGCCCGACGCCCGGGGCTACCATTTTTTGGGGTCGGGCTAGTAGTTTTCTGCACAGAGGTAGCCCCTTGGGCTAGTAAAAATTAAAGCTACCAATGTAATACCAGGGACCTATATATTAGTATATCCAAGGTCCCTGGTAATACATGAAAATCACTATTGGTATTTTCACTCATTTTTTGCTAATTAATTCTCAAGCAATGAAAACTTTTCGGCAGCATCCTCCTATTGCTCGTAAATCTCCATAATCATATCCATTTTGCAGTACTATCTGACATATTTACTTCAAAAAACGTTCGTTTTTATCTAATCCGAATTTCCTCTATTCCTCTGTTTATGGTATATACACATGCAGATATCTCATTAAATTATTTACGATCACTCAATCAACCGAAAGATAAGTGTTATGTGGTTTACATAAAATATATTTCCAGCGTATTTAATGATTTAAGATGAAAAAATGATTTTCATTTCATTTTAGATAAGATACTTTATTTGAATTCATTTTTATTTACTATAATAATTATTGATTTATACATGATTTAATTTTACTAGTGGGAATTAAACTTTGATTTTAAAAAGAATGACATTAAAACCCTGACTTTTTCAACAATAAACTATTTTCCTTTAATATTAGTTGTTACGCTCCCCCCCCCCCCCCCCTTACATTTGGGCTAGTAACTTTTACTTGGGGCTAGTAACTTTATTGCTGCCACTAGCCTGTGGGCTAGTGCTTAATCTTTTTAATTGCACACCCCTGATGGTTACTAAAAATAGAAATTTCTATGAAATACTTTCAAAACGTTACTCGATCCTCCTACAGTTTTAGTCTGATTTCAATTAAACTAGGCACACAAGTAGACTACACTAAGGTATATAAATTTGTGTATCAGTTTTTGATTTCAATGAACAGTGTTGCCATGGTTACTAAAAAATAGAAATTTCTATGAAATACTTTCAAATGCTACTCCTCCTACAGATTTGGTCTGATATCAATATAACTTGGCACAGAAGTAGACTACGTACTCTGAGATACATAATTCTGATACATAATTCTGTATATCGTTGTTTGATTTCAATGATTGCTGTTGCCATGGTTATTAAAAAAACAAATTTCTGTGAAATATACTTTCAAAACACTTCTCTTCCTACAGTTTGGTCTGATTTTAATATAACTTGGCTTGCAAGTAGACTACACTGAGATGTACATAATTGTCTTTATTGTTTTTTTTTATTTTTTGTATTTTAATGAATGATGTTGCCATGGTTAATAAAATTGAAATTTCTGTAAATTCTTTTAAAAGGCTACTCCTCCTACAGTTTTATTCTGATTGCAATAAATCTTGCCACAAAAAGAGACTTAACCAAGGATCAGTATTCTATTTATTGCTGTTGCAAAGTTTCAAGTTCAAGTGCAACTTTTCTTTTGTTATAAGTTCAAACCAGTAGAGATACAGTCTCATCAGAGACTTCTGGTTCTGTATAAATTATGATGTTTTGGAACAAAAATTATAAGTTGTCTTTCTTTGTTTCTCTTTAAAAACCTAATATGCAGTTACAGGTCTGGGATACCCTTATAAATGATACTTTAAGAATGTACGATTTCAGGTAACACCCCATTCTATTGTATACAGGGTTATATATATTCGGCCTGTATTATTTTCACCCTTTCACATTTAACAATGCCTTTTATATGCACTAGGAATGGCAGTGGAATACAGAATTGCCAACTGGTTAACCTTAGCATATTTCGACCCATTTATCACTGTTTATACCAGTTAATATTATCAAATTACACATTTTTTGACATATTGATATAACTTCTTACTTCTTTAAGTCATCCCTAGAAGTCATTCATATATATATATAAACTAATAATAATAATAAAAAAACCTAGAAAAGACAATTGTGATATTCTGTTCATGTTTAATCAGAACCTAAATGAATTTTGTTTCAGTTTCAGTAAGCAAGAAAAAAAAACCCAAAGCAATTAAGCCATGAAACAAGCCTGTGTTATCAGAGACATAAATAATTTTGTTACGAGTTCATTCTGTGTTGTCACCATCATCAAAACTATCAATTCATGTACAATTTTATCTTTAAATATTGCAGAGGATAGAAAGGGTACAACACACATTGAAAGCAGTTACAAAGATGTACAGTACTCAGTATATTGCTTTAATTTTGAAAACCATTCATGTAATTTAAGAAATGCTAGATAAGCCAGACAATGTCATGATGAGTAACTTACACTTCAATTTATCCAAACAATCTCAGTATATGGTAGTTTTTCTTTCTTTAATTGAATCTGAAGTAAATCTGTGATCTGATATCCACATTTTTTTTTTTATGAAATCGGTCTGACTAGAGTCAAGGAGTAACCAGTTAATCGATTACCATTAACATATATATAAACAAGAAACTTAAGTTAAATTATGTATATTTCCAAATCATATTAAATATATCCTGAAAGCATATTTACTTGAGAAGGAAAGAACACAATACTCTATCTGTCAAAAAAAGTTGTTATTAACGTGCTTCATTAATTTAAGTCCCAAATTTACTTTGTGCAATTTAGTTAAAATTGTTGTGAGAAAACTAAATGTGAACCACTTAAAATTTAAAACATAGATTTGTCTCAACTTGAATAGGATACAAAAAAAAAGGAAAATGTACATGTACTTTTGCAAAGTTTAAAAGACAGTATCCATTTGGACATGTGTTGGAACTGGAATTTAATTGTCACAGTTAAGATCTTTCTTTTATTTATTCACCAAATCTTTTCTTTCTGTTGTATACTTTTTTATTTGTTGTAGAAATCTTATTGAAAAGTCCTATTCACACAAATTAAGAGAGAGGGAAGTTGAGGTGTACACTCTAGACAATGAAAATTTGATAAAGTCTTTCGAAGAGAACAGACAAGCAGCACCTCGACGCATTGTTCAAGGGAATAATAATGTGCAAATTCGAGATTTTTGCTCAGGAATATTGGTTATGGGTGGAGTGATATTGGTGAGTACTGCTCCATATATATGTTTCTAAAAGAATATGTACTATGTACTGTATGTACATTTTTCCTACGTGGAATTTATTTACGCTATTTACTTGGTAAAAAATTTTCTGCAGAAATTTGTTACAGTGTACTTAAAGTGCATTTAAGAGATATGAAGGCATTCCAGTTATTAAGAAATTTGCATAATTTTCTACATGCGGATTGAAATGAAATTGTGGTTTCATGGTAATATGACCCCATGGAAAAAAACTATAACACAGTATGTTAACTCGATTATTTATGACAGCGTACAAGTGCCATTTCAATTTTGTAGCTTTACGATTAAGAAAATTGATTGGTACGATTTTTTAAATTGTTCAAATGATTTAGAAATTTGTATGTATCATTTAGAAATTCGTTAATACCATTTAGAAATTCGTTTGAATGATTTTTAAAATTGTTTGAATGATTTTTTAAATTGTTTGAAGGATTTTTTAAATTGTTTGAATGCTTTTTAAATCCTTTGAATGATATAGAAATTCATTTGTACGATTTAGAATATCGTTTGTATGATTTAGAAAATTGTTTGTAGGAAACAACTCTCCTTTTTACAAAAAAAAATGATTTTGATACATTATTGTGTGACAGTTTAACTGTACTGTAGTAAAGAGTCGGGGGAGGGGGCAAACGGTCTTTCAATGAAATTTCCACACTAAATCAAGAGAAAAAGAATATACTAAGAAATAGTGAGGACCTTTATTCAATGATAATGACATTTTAGATAAATCTGAATAAAATATTGTTTTAAAGGATTGATTATTATACCCCCCATAAATGAAGTTAGGGGGGTATATAGGAATCACCTTGTCCGTCCGTCCGTCTGTCTGTCTGTCTGTGCAAATGTGTCCGGTCCATATCTTTCTTACGGAGGAATCTCCTACTTCACACAAAGAATGTTCATGACCTGAAGGTGTGTCATGACCTTGACCCAAGGTCATTTGGGCAAGTTCAAGGTCACTGAAAGAAAAAGTTCATAATTCGTGTCCGGTCCATATCTTTCTTATGGATAAACTTGGTGAGTTCCCATTTTACACAAAGATTGCTTATGACCTGAGGGTGTGTCATGACCTTGACCCAAGGTCATATGGGCAGTTCAAGGTCACTGAAAGAAAAAGTTTATAATTCGTGTCTGGTCCTTATCTTCTTATGGATAAACTTGATGAGTTCCCATTTTACACAAAGATTGTTCATGACCTGAGGATGTGTCTTGACTTTGACCCAGGGTCATTTGGGCAAGAACAAGGTCACTGAAAGAAAAAGTTCATAATTCGTGTCCAGTCCATATCTTTCTTATGGATAAACTTAGTGAGTTCCCATTTTAAACAAAGATTGCTTATGACCTTAGGGTGTGTCATGACCTTGAACCAAGGTCATTTGGGCAAGTTCAAGGTCACTGAAAGAAAAAGTTCATAATTTGTGTTGAGTCCATATCTTTCTTATGGATAAACTTGATGAGTTTCCACTTTACACAAAGATTGCTTATGATCTCAGGGTGTCATGATCTTGACCTATAGTCACTGTAGAAAAAATGGATAAATAATGCATCCATACTTTCTAACAGAGAAATACTTGAAAAATTGTTATTTATCATGTTTATTTTTTCAATGTAATTAGTGGTGTTCCAATCATCGATAAAATCGAAAATCAGTCGATTGCTGGCATTATCTAAGCGCTCGATTACAAAATTTTTATTCCAAGTAATCGGGTTTTTTATTTTATTTAAAAAGCATAATAGTTTTTAAGCCGAATATTCCAAATTCCAGCTGCGACTTGTCTATTAACTTATTTGTGTATCCTAATGGCGCAGATGAACGACATTGTATTCATACCCAGTTAACAATGCTCATTTCCAGGTATGGAAATACTTTGGATTCTACAAAATGAACGAAGAACCAGCTGGACTAGATAGAACGTTCTATCGCTAAAATGATATTGTCTAAAAGACTAGGGTTTGTCCCGAGACACAGTTAGATTATTCTAACTACAGCTGGACCACCACAGAAAGTAGTTATTAACCCATTCTTACCATTTCATAAACTAAATTGACAGACTTTGTAAATGTCCGATTTTAATTGATAATTAGTTAGTTACAGTAGTCCGATCATCGATTATAAAATTCTTACCGATTCCCATCACTAAATGTAATAAAAAATGTTATTATAAGTATTACATGTATTTGATGTTTTATTTGGCTGCGCCTTAGTTTCATTCATTAAAAAAAAATTAAGGAGCAATAACCAGTAAATTTTCACTCTAAATGTTTAAACAAATTGTGAACACATCTTAGATCCATCAAATACTAGTATTAGTGACTTGGCACCTTCTCTGAAAGCCCTGCGGGGGGTATTTGTCCCTTTAGGACAGTTCTAGTTAATCATGTTGATAAACAAATAATTTTTAAAAAATGGTCCAAACGTCTTTATAAATCATTAAAATAATTTAAAAATTCATACAAACTAAATTGTAAATCATTCAAATGATTTTCTAAATCTTGCAAAGGATTTAATTTATTTTTTCTGCAAAATTGAAATGGCACTTATAGGCCATCGTAATTATTAGATTCGTAATTATTAGATTAGAAATAAATTAAATCAAAATGTTCTAGATTTTTAAAGATACAAAATATTTACAATCATTATAATAAACATAATATTTTGTTTAATATAAAGTATTCAGCATTGATAAAGGTCATACTGAGAGAGAAATTTTATACATTAATTCTTTCTATAATCTATATAATTTTTCTATTAATTCTAACATTACCACAGTTTATAAGATTCACATTTCTATAAATACATTAACCTTTACAGCTTGTCTACCTCGTGATGTACTGGAAAAGTGTAGGCTCTGACCTGCTCATTCACAAACCCCCAGCTCGATGGGGTACAGAGGATGTTGTGCAATGGTTATCTGACCTTGGGTCATGGACAGAAGGTTATCGGGAAACAGCTAGACTTAATGGAATAGGTAGATATTTATGATGAATGTCAAACTTGAAATATAAATGCCATCTTGATTTATACTTTTTTTTCGATATGAATATATCATATTTTAATTGATAACTTCTATCAGGGAACATAAAAATATATTTCTGTGGAGATATTTTAAGAATATTGTCCCCTTTTAAATGGGCTGCTGGCAAGCTATCACAATGCGGGAGATTTTGTTTTAAATAATCATTGCTCTCATTCTGCTGTATTTTGTCAATGATTGAATCCAGACCCACCCGACAAATATGGCAGGTCACTTTATTGTCTTCCAAAGAACAGAAGAGAACATAGTATTGAAAAATGTACATGAAAAATTGAACTTTGCTTGCTGGATATTATTTTACAATGAAGTAGTTCATTATCACTTTTTTGTGTTTTATACGCCATTTTTTAAATATGTATGCTTTTGTGGGTATTGATTGGTCTTGGTGGATATTTGCTATTGTGTTTGCCCTTTTAGAGTTATTTTCAATTATGTTTTTTTTAAGTGGTAAGCTGGTGGTTTTAACCAATATAACTTTTCTTATGGAAAAAAATATCTCTTTTTGCTAAGTCTTATTATACATCACTGAAGGCTGTGCTGTGACCTTCACGTTATCAAATTAAAGTCTAGCAGGCATGCATGTATATAACTGAGAAATGTTTTAAGGGAGAAACTTCAGACACCTCTTAGGTCTAAAGAGTTTTTCCAAAATATTCAAATTTACAAAGGTCCCAAGTACATATTGTCTTAATCTTAGGAAAGCTTCAGACATAGTCTTTATTTTTGCAAGGCTCATTATTATAACTGTATCTTAGAAGATCTTGGTTTTAATTCTACTTGTGGAAATCCAACTTTTACTTGCAGTTCACTATCTAAAGATAAAATTCTTCAAAATCACATTTCAGTATTTGCATGTAAAACTTTTAACATTCCAGACAACCAAGATGAGTTTGATCTACCCTTAACCTATATTGGATTCCTAAACTTCATAAAAATCCTTACAAACAGAGATACATTGCAGAATCAAGCTATACTCCTTACAAAAATATCAACTGCTGTTAACGAGGTTCGCTCCTGAGCTTTTGAGCAGATTCTTATCTTAACCTATATTTAAAAAATTCTGCATAATGTTTTAATTCTTACAATAAATTTGGATTCTACAATGCCAATTTAACTATATTCAGTTAAAACTCCATGATTAAATTCCATACTAAAAGCATTAAGTGAGGAACTATATTTTGTGGCGGAAGGTTTTTTAGAAGAAAATGATCATTTTTTCTCTTTCGAAGAATTAAAAGTATGTTAAGTTTGGATTCCTATTTTTACATGTAGTCTGCACACATAGTTCTTTTGTGCAGTGGACTGTTTTATACTGGTCCTAAATTATCTATTAAAAAAACTGTCATGAATTCTATCATCATATTTGATAAATATAGCAAATATATTGTGGAAATGAAGAAAAAAATAGCCCTAATTTAAGCTTAAAATTAGCACTATTTTAGTAATATCTAAAAATTAACATCACAGACCCCCACTTTTAATTTTCTTTTCTGAATATATACGATACTTTTAATCATTCTTCTTAAATTCAGTAAATTGTCATTACTTTCAAATGATTTTTTTTGCTTGTTAAATTTTAATACCAGAAAAATGAAAATGTTTGAGTGCAAAAAGGTCAAATAATTGAACATGCGGAGTAATTCAAAAATTTCTTCGTTGTTACAAATTTTAATGTGTCTATTTAAGATGAAATAAGACTGTGTTTGTTCACCATAATTTATTTGAACAAAAAATATTGAAGGAAAAACTTTAAAAATTGATTTATGTGTAAGACATATTTACAGTGCAAAAAGGTCAAACTAAATGCTCTGTAGCGCCAAAAGAAGCGCATTGACCCCCATTTTTTGTTTTGATTTTTAATAAAGCTATGTGTATAAATTCTAAAAATATACTTGATAAAAAATTCTCATTACTTTTGATGGCAGGATCCAACCTCCTTAAGGAGAAACTTAATTTAGACATACTATTCTACAGAATATTCTAGAAGTGGTGTAAATCTTTGGTGGATTCTCAAAAACTCCAAAGAACTTTTAGAAAATTTGAAGTCGCCAAATTTTTCAAAAGTCATTAACATCAAAATGTATGACTTTTCAACACTTTATACAACCATTACTTACAATAAATTAAAAACTAGACTTTTTGATATCATAGATAACTGCTTCTTCAATAAAAATGTCGGAAATTTTCCTATCTTATGATCGGTCATCAACAAAATTACTTTGTAAAAAACTTGCCTGATTCTGCACACAAGTACACTGAAGTTGATATTAAAAGGATGCTGGAGTTCCTCATTGACAACATTTATGTAGTCTTCGTAGACCAGGCGCCCGTTTTACAAAAGAACTTACGACTACGACCAACATTTAATTCTGCTTGTAACATTTTAATTTACGTTATATATTTAAAAAAAAAATCAGTAAAATATTTTTATGCTAGCAATTTTAAAAAGAATCATTATTTTTGAAGAATTTTAATATCAATTTAATTTTTTGGTCTTAGTCGTAAGTTCATTTGTAAAACGGGTCCCTGGTCTTCCAACTAACTGTTGGAATACTAGTGGGCACTAATTGTGCTCCTTTATAAGCCAACCTGTTTTTAGCCGGGCTCCATAGCGTAAGCTATGGCCCAGCTTTCGGGATCGCCGATCTGCATGGAGAAATACACCGGATGGTAACCCAACAACCGCCAACATAAACATTACCTGTCTCTACCATTACGCTTTTCAAATTAGATCAGTTCCCATTAACTCCTGATGATGACGCTTGGTTAAACTTTTCAAATTTTCAAATATCAGAAACATTTTCTCACATTAGACAAGCTTTTAAAGAAAGTTAATACCTGTGTGAGAGTGAACGTAACCTCTGCTGCCATATGTACACACAGGCCACGTGCGACACACAATCAAAATATTTTTAGCCTGATAAGACAACCTGTATTTATAGAATGATGGAAAACTTCACAGCCTTGCCATGCGTGCATAGTATATGCGCACTTGCATCTGACCTTGTAACTAGGTGGATGTGGCGATATTTACCTTATTAAATTAAAGCTAAAACAAGAATAAAAGGAAAAATAACCACAGATGACAATAGTATTGCGAACTGCAAATAAAAAATATCAAACAAAATAATCTGGAGAATGTTGTTCCAGTTAAATCAGATGTGGGTAATGTAATGCGATATCCTGACACTGAGGTTATACATTGTTATACAGAGATGATGATGATTTTAGAAAATGCTTTTCCTGTGTTTAAAAAAAAACTCTTTAAAGCATTTAGTTATTTATTGCAAAATAATATTTCTGAACTTATGTAGCAGTTATTTCATGTATGCTTCATCTAAAATGGTACTGCTCTATAAATAAGCCCGGCTCTCTGTACTCCTGAGTACTTTGATTAAATTTCTATGAAGCAGAATTTATTCAAAAACTTCAGAGAAGAAGAAAATACTTGCTGTAGCCTTCAACTAGACATTTAGATACATTGATGATGTATTATCAATTAGCAATAGTTACTTTCATTCATGTGTCAATTTGATATATCCCAGTGAACTTTAAATAAAAGACACCACAGAGTCTGCCACATCTGTTTCATATTTGGATGTTTTACTGACTATAGACGATAAGGGCCAACTAACAACTATTTCGTGTGACAAACGAGATGACTACAACTTTTCCTTTGTCAACTTTCCTTATTTATGTAGTAATATCCTGCTATCACCTATGGTGTTTACATCTTCCAACTTATTCAATACTCAATAGCATGCTCTGAGTCATTTTTAAACCAAGGCAGGCTACTGACAGATAAGTTGATGTTACAGGAATTTCAACAACTGCATTTAAAGTCAGCAATATATTGACCTTGTTAGCAAAAATAACTTATCATAGGGTAGTATTTTGGCTGACTTGTTTCATACCAATTGTTAGGCCTTTGTTTTCATACTGATTTTGACTACAGAATGTTCCATATACCTGATCAAGACATAGGGCTCACAGCGGTGTGACTGGTCAACAGTGGATGCTTAGTCCTCCTAGGCACCTGATCCTACCTCTGGAATTTCCAGGGGTCCATGTTTTACATGTATGTCCTCTTCACAGAGTTGTATTGTTTATAGATTATTTGAGACCTTTAAGCATAGTCAATGGAATTGGCGGGGGTCAATGAGTTACAGAATAATGAGTAAACAAAAATAACTTCAATGAGATTTCACATTACATGTATTAATATGTTTGTAATTTTTAGCTCACCTCAACGAAGTTGGGGGAGCTTATGTAATACCCTCTGCGTTGGTGTGGGCATGTCAGGTTAAAGTATTTGGAGCAGATTTCTTTTCAAGTACCTCTATGTCCTATATCAATCAGAGGTGCATGGAGGATGCCTCTAGTGTGTTTCATTGTACCAGTCAAGGTTTAAGATGCTGCAATTTCAGCTAAAGAATGACCAGGTTAATGTTTTTGGAGCAGGTTAGAGTTTTTGGAGCAGGTGAAAGTTTTTGGAGCTGATCTCATTTCCAAGTAACTATAAGTCCTATGTTGACCAAACTTGCATGGATGATATGTCTAAGGATGCACACTACTGAACTTGCTTTGGATGCTGGATCTGACCTACATTTTCCGGATGAGTGACCAAGTTAAAGTTTTTGGAGCAGTTCTCATTTCCAAGTAACTGTAAGTCCTATGTTGACCAAACTTGCATGGATGATACATGTACATGTACATCTAAGGATGCACACTACTGGACTTGCTTCAGATGCTGGATCTGACCTACATTTTCCAGATGAGTGACCAGGTGAACGATTTTGGAGCAGGTCTCATTTCGGAGTAACTATAAGCCCTTTATTGACCAAACTTGCATGGATGATACATCTAAGGATGCACACTACTGGACTTGCTTCAGATGCTGGATCTGACCTACATTTTCTGGATGAGTGACCAGGTGAAAGTTTTTGGAGCAGATCTCATTTCCAAGTAACAATAAGTCCTATGTTGTCCAAACTTGCATGGATGATACATCTAAGGATGCACACTACTGAACTTGCTTCGGATGCTGGATCTGACCTACATTTTTCGGATGAGTGACCAAGTTAAAGTTTCTGGAGCAGATCTCATTTCCAAGTAACTGTAAGTCCTATGTTGACCAAATTTGCATGAATTATACATCTAAGGATGCACACTACTAGACTTGCTTCAGATGATGGATCTGACCTACATTTTCCAGATTAGCGACCAGGTGAACGTTTTTGGAGCATGTCTCATTTCGGAGTAACTATAAGCCCTTTATTGACCAAACTTGCATGGATGATACATCTAAGGATGCACACTACTGGACTTGCTTCGGATGCTGGATCTGATCTACATTTTCTGGATGAGTGACCAGGTGAAAGTTTTTGGAGCAGATCTCATTTCTAAGTAAATGTAAGTCCTATGTTGATCAAACTTGCAAGGATTATATATCTTAGGATGCACACTACTGGACTTGCTTCGGATGCTGGATCTGACCTACATTTTCGGGATGAGTGACCAGTTTAAAGTTTTTTGATAAGTTCATTCCCAAGTAACTGCAATCCCTACCAGACCAAAATTACTTAAATGTTGCATCTAGGGATGCACACTACTAGATTATTAGCTTAGTGTGGGACTTTGCCTTACATAAAGACAACATTCGTCGAGGTGAGCTCTGTAATCTCTGATTACCTATGTTTGATATATCATATTTGCTATTCTTGACCTCTTAATGAAGCTGTATATATAATCAGAAAATAATCAAGCTTTATTGACAAATTAATTAATTTGTGTATATATAATCAGAAAATAATCAAGCTTTATTGACAAATTAATTAATTTGTCATCAAGATATTAGCTTATTCTTCTTTAAAGTCGGCATTGAAAAGATAATTTCATGGGTAGACATTTCCTGGAGACACAGGCAGCATTGTGACATTCTGTCAGAAATTAATTTCATTACTGAACAATAATTGAATTCTGAGCCTCTTTCATATCCCTCATCTCTTAAAGTGGCTTAAGTTGTTTTCTTACTAAATGAAGAAAGACATAAAGCAGCTTCAATCTTTCATGGAACTATTTCTTTCACTATCAGCAGACAGGTGAATAAATCCTTAGACCTTGTCAATCTCTTTATTGGTGTTAAGATGGATTGGGTTGCTGCTTAAGATATGTATACTATAATGTTACAATAATTGCTTAAGAAGTGTACTCACTCATATAGTACATTTGACCTTTCCCCATAAACCATAGTAGATGATTGCAATCACTTGGAGTCTTATCTACACAACATGGGGTCCTCTCAAATAGATGCTTTAGTGATACTGTTGTTTTATTAAAGTTTCTCAAATTAGTTTTAAGATCCAGAGTTTAGTTAAAGGCTGCCAAAATTATATCAATATTGCTTATGTTTATCTAATAATGATAACCATCAATCCAAAGTGGTTGGATGTGTACTAAGTAATACATGTATTTCCTGTTGATAAACACTTGGTTAAGTATATCAAATGCTGCAATGTTTATACCTGTTTAATATTTCATCTCTTCTAAATGGCCTGCCAGCAAGTATCATACACTTAATTATTTTTTCATAGGGCAAAGAGCATACATATGGAGGACCAAAAACAAACAATGTTTGATTGCTACAGGTAAATGAATCTTGTTAAATTGATTAATATTATGAAACTTTTCCTTTTTTAGATGGAAGACTTCTGCTAGCTGTAGACCATGCAAGCCTGCAGTCAAGTTTGAATGTAACCAATGATCTACATATTAAAGCCATTTCCACTGCAATTCAGCAGTTGAAGGATTTTAATATGAAGCTGCCTGCTTCTCTTTGGGAGTACAAGGTGGAATTTATTCTTTTAAAGATTTTCAAATTAGATAGTATTTATAGTTTAAAAGTGTCATCCATTGCAAATTAATTGATATTTTTTAATCAGAAGTTCTAGCTGATATCATGGATACAAGTCTTTACTTATAAAGTATGATTAAAAAAGCAATCTTTCAAGAAAATAAATAAATCTGATTCATGGTGTAAAATGTAATACTTATCTGTTATATTAGGTGTCCTTCCAATTTCCTTTAATAATTTTATTGTACAACATAAGCAAAGGTAGTCAATGACATCTCAAAATGTTTTAAAATAACTGGCAGATGCAATTTGCATATATTCTGTACATGTATACAGTTTTCTAATATACTGTTTGTAGATAAATAAGAAATTGAGTCAATGATTTCAGTAGGAAATCTTGGATAAATGTGCATGCAAAATACTTGACAGAAAGTAGAAAATAAATATTGTAAACACATGTAGAAGATACATTCTATTTTGGCACTATTGTTGGAAACTTTAAATTATTGTCAGTCATAGAAAAAAAAAACTCGATTATAATAATTTCAATGTTTTCAAACAAATTTCTATGTTATAAAAGCTATAATTTTCATGACTAAAGGATAGATAATTTTTTTGAAATAATGACAAAAATCGAAATCTGAATTTATTAATTTAAAGACAGAGAAAGTGTCTGTGGTATTGAATTACAATTATTAGAGGAAAATAAAGTACAAGTTGAATCATTTTGCATTGAGAAAGCAACCACTGGTTGTTAATCAAAATGAAATTTCAAGCACTTTTTTCATAAAATAATTGAATCAAACCAGGAAAACAAGAGGCCCATGGACCACAACACTCACGGACACCTGAGTCAATATGTCCCTGCTGTTCTTCATAGCAGATTTTTTTCTATTATATATTCCTGTGTAAAACATTGATCCCCCTTATGGCCCCAGGGGTCATGATTTGAACAAACTTGAATCTACACTACCTAAGGATGCTTCCATATCAATATAACTAATCATGGCTTTGCTGTACTTGAAAAGAAGATTTTTAAAGATTTTTTCATATATATTCCTATGTAAAACTTTGATCCCCCATTGTGGTCCCACCCTACCCCTGGGGGTCATGATTTAGAGAAAAAAATGAGTCTACAATACCTGAGGATGCTTCCATATCTGTAAGACTAATCATGGCTTTTGCTGTTCTTGAGAAAAAATCTTAAAACTACATATTCCTAAGCAAAAGTTTGATCTTCCAATGTAGCCCCACCCAACCCCAGGGGTCATGATCTGAACAAAAATGAATCTACAGTACTTAGGATGCTTCCTTATCAAAATGACCAATCATGGCTTTGCTGCTTTTGAGAAGAAGACTTTTGAAGATTTTTTTCCTATATATTCCTATGTAAAACTTTGTTCCCCAATTGTGGCCTCACCCAACCCCGGGGTCATGATTTGAACAAACTTGAATCTGCACTACCTGAGGATGATTCCACATCAATATGACTAATCATGGCATTGCTGTTCTTCAGAAGCAAATTTTTGAGGATTTGTTCCTATATATTCTTACGTAAAACTTGATCCCCCATTGTGGGCTCCACCCAACCCCAGGGGTCATGATTTGAACAAGCTTGAATCTACACTATCTTAGGAAGCTTACATATCAATATGACTAATCTTTGCTGTTCTTGAGAAGATTTTTGAAGATTTTTTCCTATATTTTTCCTGTGTAAGACTTTTATCTGCCATTATGGCCACACCTTACCCCAGGGGTCATGATTTGATCAAATTTGAATCTATACTATGTAAAGAAGGTTTCACATAAGTTTCAATTTTTTTTGCCCAATGGTTCTTGAGAAGAAGATTTTTAAGATACCACCAAATTTTCACTAATTCTTATTTACATGTATCTCCCCTTGAAAGAGTATGTGGCCCTTCATTTGAACAAACTGGAATCCCCTTCACCCAAGGATGATTTGCGACATGTTTGATTGAAATTTATCCAGTGGTTCTTGAGAAGTTGAAAATGTGAAAAGTTTACAGATGTACAGACAGACCAACAACAGACAAAATGTGATCAGAAAAGCTCACTTGAGCTTTCAGCTCAGGTGAGCTAAAAAGTGTTTTGATATAAGTTTTTCCTGTCTGATGCTAAAAAAACAAATTAAGATTATAGTTCAACCCAGAATATTGACCTCAATGACTGAATGGTACATTTTTTATGTTTTCATTTTGATGATATGATTTGTTGATTATTCTCTGTTATGTAATGTGGAAATTTAGATACCACATGAGCTGTAAAGTTGCAGCTTCACTATGGGTGGTGCTCTCAGAGAGATTGTAAATCTCTTATAATGCATGTTTTTCAGAAGCTAATATCAACAACCCATTTAAGCAAATGCTGAATCCAAAACAAGTTTTTGTATCTCTCTTTCATTTCCCTTAACTTTTAAGTGTACCAACATCACCATATCAAAGTTGATAATTTTTTATCCTTTATCAATTATGATGTTTTTAATCTTTTTCAATGCACAAGTCTTCTGTCTATGGTGTTACCAATCAAGTTGCTTTTTTGTAAATTGTAAATAATTAAAAATATTTTTCATAAAGTTTTTTTTTTTTACCTTTGTTGGTTTAATTAAGGAGTGTTTTTAGCTCTACTGGTCAGAGACCAGAAGAGCTTATGCGATAGTAAGGTGTCCGTCATCCGTCGTCCGTCTGTCTGTAAACAATTTTTCAAAACGCTACTCCTCCTACAGTTTTGGTCTGATTTCAACATATCTTGGCACATAAGTAGACACACTAAGATACATAATTTAGTGCATAGGTTTATGATTTCGATGAACAGTGTTGCCATGGTTACTGAAAATAGAAATTTCTATAAAATTCCTTCAAAACACTACTCCTCCTACAGTTTTTGTCTGATTTCAATATAACTTGGCACAGAAGAATACTACACTAAGATACATAATTAAGTGCATCGGTTTTTGATTTTGATGAATGGTGTTGCCACTGTTGCTAAAAATAGAAATATCTGTGAAATTCCTTTAAAACGCAATTCCTCCTTCAGTTCTAGTCTGATTTTAATATAACTTGGCACACAGGTAGACTACACTAAGATACATAATTTGATGATTTGGTTTTTGATTTTGAAGAATGGTTCAGCCATGGTTACTAAAAATAGAAATTTCTGTAAAATTCCTTAAAAACATTACTCCTGCTACAGTTTTCGTCTGATTTCAATCTAATTTGGCACACAATTAGACTGCACTATGTTACATAATAGTGTTTATTGGTGTTTGATTTCAGTGAATGTTGTTGGCATGGTTACTTAAAATAGAAATTTCTGTGAAATACTTTCAAAATGCTACTCCTCCTACAGTTTTTGTTTGATTTCAATATAACTTGGCACACAAGTAGACTACATTAAGATACATAAATCTATTTATTGTTGCAGGTTCCAAAGTTTCAAATCGAAGTGCTACTTTTCCTTTGTTATACGTACAGACCAGTAGAGCTTCAGTCTCATCAGAGACTTCTGGTTAAGTTTTGTGTGAGTCATTAGTTGTAAATCACACAGACTTGTCACATAGGCATATTTTTCATGAAGCACTAGCCTATATGCAGGTCTTTGTGATTTACACACCAATTAATCACACTAAACTTTAAAAAAAATCCCTTTTATTAGGTCACCTGAGTCACCCAGGTGACCTATTGCTATCCGTTCTCGTCCGTCGTCGTGCGTCGTGTGTTAACATTTGAACATTTTTAACTTCTTCTCTGAAACCGCTAAACCAATTTCAACCAAATTTGGCATATAGCATCTATGGGTGAAGGGGAACAAAAGTTGTGAATTTCATGGTCCCTGCCCCCCTGGGACCTGAGGGGTGGGGCTAAAACCACCAAAAATAATGCAATCTTTAAAAATCTTATTTTTTACTCCTGGACATCAAGCAGTCAAACTGTTGGCATCATTGTAATAAGCATTTAGCCCTCTACCAAAATTGTGAAATTCATGGCCCCAGGGTCAGGGGTTCTGGCCCCAGGGTGGGGCTATATAGATCATATAGTGAAAGTGCATTATTTCTTTGAAAATCTTCTTCTCTGCTCCTGGGTATTAAATAAAGTAACTAAGTACGTAGTTATGAAGAGCAAGAGTGCCTCTTCCAAAATTGTGAAATTCATAGCCCCAGGGTCAGGGGTTCTGGTGTTAGGGTGGGGCTCTATTGATTATATAGTGAAAATGCATTTATTCTTTGAAAATCTTCTTCTCTGCTCCTGGGTATTAAATAAAGTAACTAAGTACATAGTAATGAAGAGCAAGAGTGCCTTTTCCAAAATTATGAAATTCATGGCCCCAGGGTCAGGGGTTCTGGTGTTAGGGCGGGGCTCTATTGATTATATAGTGAAAATGCATTAATTCTTTGAAAATCTTCTTCTCTGCTCCTGGGTATTAAATAAAGTAACTAAGTACGTAGTTATGATGAACAAAAGTACCTTTTCAAAAATTGTGAATTTCATGGCCCCAGGATCAGGGGTTCTGGTGTTAGGGCGGGGCTCTATTGATTATATAGTGAAAATGCACTAATTCTTTGAAAATCTTCTCCCCTCCTTGATATTTAATAAAGTAACTAAGTACGTAGTTATGATGAGCAAGAGTACCTCTTCCAAAATTGTGAATTTCATTACCCCTGGGTCAGGGGTTCTGGTGTTAGGGCGGGGCTCTATTGATTATATAGTGAAAATGCATTAATTCTTTGAAAATCTTCTCCTCTGCTCCTGGGTATTATTTAAACAAACTAAGTGCATGGTTATGATGCATAAAGATGCCTTTTCAAAAATTGTGAATTTCATTACCCCAGGGTCAGGGGTTCTGGTATTAGGGCAGGGCTCTATTGATTATATAGTGAAAATGCATTGATTCTTAAATCTTCTTCTCTGCTACTGGGTATTATTTAAACAAACTAAGTGCATGGTTATGATGCATAAGGATGTCTTTTCAAAAATTATGAATTTCATGGCCCCAGGGTCAGGGGTACTGGTGTTAGGATGGGGCTCTATTGATTATATAGTGAAAATGCATTGATTCTTTGAAAATCTTCTTCTCTGCTCCTGGGTATTATTTAAACAAACTAAGTGCATGATAATGATAGGCAAGGATGCCTCTTCCAAAATTTTCAAATATATGGCCTCAGTTTTTGTTGTTCTTGAGGAGGGGGGGGGGCTCTATTGATTATATAGTGAAAAAGCATTAATTCTATTAATTAATCATTTATTAATCCTATCTGCTCCTTAGTGTTGAGCTGATAAATAAATTGATTAGCTATGATGAAAATGGGAGCTTCGAACAGAATTTTTAAATCATGGTCCTAGGGTCAGGGGTTCTGGCTTAACGAGGGGGGGGGGGGCTTTTAATAATATAGTGGAAAAGTGTTAATTCTTTGAAGTCCATAGTTATGATGCTGAGGGTAACTCTTCCAAATTTGTAAATTTCTTGACCCTTGCTCTTGGGTTCTGGTGTTAGGGTAAGGCTTTGTTGAATATGTAGTGAAAATGCATTGTACCTGTGAAATTCTTCTCTGCTTCTGGGCAAACTGAGTAAAAGTTTAAATGATATAAGTAAGCGTATTTCTACCAGATTTTTGAACATCTGGACCATTTGACTAAGCATTCTGGTCCTGGGCAGGGCTCTATTAATTTGTATTCTACTGAGAGAAGTTATTCCCCTCTTCCATTCACCTTTGATAATTAATCACTGTAAATAATGTATTTGAAAGGTTAATAGAATAAGATAATTATGCAAGAATGTTTATTGTATAATTCAAAAAGTACTTTCTTAGTTTTAATAATCAGGTAGACCTGTAAGTAATAGATAAATAATAGATCAATGCTAGGGGTCTTAATATGGGTTTAAAAATATTACAGAAGTACTAATAGTTTGTTAATAGTCTGCATGGTGATAGTGTTAAGTGGGGGACAGATTAGAACTTAATTTATGAGTTGATACTGAATACTAGACTAATTATTTTGTTGATCCTGATCTTCCTACTTCTCTTGCTTTAGGCAACAAAGCTTCATCTATCAGTGTATTTAACTTCTAAATTGTTGTATTATACTCAGGTGACCATTAAGGCCCCTGGGCCTCTTGTTTACATTTTACCTGTTTATTAGCACTAAAAATATACTCAACATTTAAATTTCTCACTGCCCTATATCCTTATATTTTTATTAACATCTCTGTAGCCTCATTGTGACATCAGTTTAGTGCGAGTTTTTCTTTGTATATTTCTGTGCATGAGTATACATGAAAATGGCATTCAAATCAATGTCATGGTTGGTTAAAGGCAGAGATTTTTTTCCAGGTGGTAAATTCCAGGTGAGGGAGGGGCTTATTTTGTACAGGTGTGAATGCCTTGAGGGCTAGCAGTCTACCTGTGGTCGTTTGTATCCCATTCCCTATACACAGTAGAGTACACAAGAAGTCAAACTTTACCTGTGTTGGGATTTTGAGATAATTTTGAATTAGAAATAAAAGTTGTAAATAAAGTTTAATCTCAATAACTTTTATTAATTTGTAATTGAATCTGTGTCAAAGCACTTCCACCCATTAAAAATATTTTTATTTTAAGTATTTGTTGAGCTTTGAAAAAAAAGTTATACCTAACTTTGATATATATATTACCATAAAGGATATCATAATTATTTCAAATACTAAAGGTATGTGTTTATTATCAAGCTAAAAATTCCATAGTAATACAGCTTCTCTGTTGTTATACCATGTGTGTAAATATCAAAGGATCAAAAGTTAATTTGAAGGTCACCCTGAGTGCCAAAGAAGGTGTACAGGGTATACACAGGGACTAGTAAGTAAATGTCAATCAAGTTCTAGCAACCAATGATGTACCTTAATGCACTTGATTGACAGGGGTACATACACCAGGTATTTTTGAAGGAGGTGCTTAAAATCTCTGGCTTTAAGTAGGAAAACAGAGCAAATGTAAATATTTTCATGTAAATTTTGACAGGCTCTGAATCCTGGTCGCTCTCTCTTCCTTGTGTATGGGATCAAAGACTTTCCAAGGACCACAATGCTCTACATCTATCTGTTTGAATACGATGAAATATTTTTGCCATTCCTTCATTCTACATTCCCAGAGAATACGGATATACCCATCATTCACATGGTAAGCTAAATTATGATTCTCAGATTCAAGCCTCTGTGGCATGTGCAAAATACATGGAGGATTCCTTATCTGTGACAAACATTGATTCTTGCAGTTTAAAGAGTCTTAATTAATACCTGAAAGTCAAATAAAGTTCTGATTGAAGAATGAAGAGAACTCATATCTATTCTCACAAAGTATATTTTCTGTGGAGTATAAGCCACAATTGCAATTTCTTATTGTCCTTTTAATTAACTTGAATTAACAATTGCTGCATGAGGACAGGTCTAACTAGATCTCTGTATCCAGTTGAAATAAGTAGGTCAAGGTTTGTTTTTTATTTGATTTTAATTTTAGCCTATTTTAATATATATTTTATGTAGATGCTTTCTTAAGAAGTGCAGATGAGAACAAAGAAGCTTGCATTTTTTAAACCCAGGAGTGTGCATACATTATAAATTCAATGTAAATAAATATGTGATGAATTCTTTCTTTGGAATGTGCAATAGAATTTTTGTACACACATATAGATACAAGAAAGTAACCCTTTAGTTCTGAAAAAATAGTCCATTTTCTTTTGTGTGTGTGTGACTGTCAAACAAAAGTCACAGAATATCCATATTTTCTCATTAATCAATTTTAAAAGAAACAGTTGTTTGATGTAGAAAAAACAAAATGCATGCTGGCCTATTCACCAAAATAGCATATATCATGCACTAGTTCCTGATTCTGAAAAAAGCAAGCTAGTTTTCTTTATATCTGTAGCATCAAGTGTCTGAATGGACTCTTTGCAGTAATTTTTTTTATTCTTCAACCATGAAAATCAAATTTGAAAACTCTCAAATTGTGGATAAATACCAGTATACAGTTTAGAGGAAATGAAAAGAGTCAGGATAGATCTGGTCTAGATATTCTCCAACCAAAATATTGAAGAAATATGTCACTTTCCCCTCAGAATCAATTGTAAATTGAAATTTACATTATTTTCTAGACTAACCAATAATGTCATCACTGACAGGAATGTTTAATGATTTCAGGTCTAAACATACTCCTCTCATATGGAATATAATTATAGATTTTTCCATCTTGTTTTTAATTTTGAGGTAGATTAAGGCTATTAATTATCAAAAACGTTGCAGCCCTTTGATGAAAAAACTCAGAACTTTTTTTTTATAAAGTTAGTCTAAGCATAGGTTTTGAACCAAGTGTGATTTCAGTTAAAAACTGTTTTTACTTAGTTTTTTGAGTGTTATTGATGTGTAGATCAGAATAAAATGAGAAAAAACATTCCTTAGATTTACATATTTAAAACCAACAAAAATACATCTGAATTACTTTTGAATTTTTTGCTGATTCATATTGTTCTTTATTAATGTTTCTGTCGCATCACTGTGGTGTTACTTTATCGCGATTTTTGCCTAGTACATTTCTATGCAAAAGTATACATGAAAATGATATTCAAATCCATTTCAGAGTTAGTTTAGGAATTTGTTGCATTCTAATATTCATGTCTTTTGCTGTGTAAATGAGTGGTCTAACAATGTAGGCTGGTAATTCTTATTGCACATTATTAAATTCTTTACATTATCTAATGATATTACATTGCATCACTTTAAATATTTTTGGGCTTTCTTGGTGTTTTTATTGCATTGGGTTGGTGTATGAATTTCTTCATCTTAAGATATGGAGATTAAATACCTGTTTTATTGCTATAAAAGGATTGATGTCTGAATAAAATTATTGAAAGTTGTTTAGTTTTAGTTTAAAAAGCATTGATGAATGCTTCAGTTATGAATCCCACTTTGAACTATTAATGGTATCTTAAAGCTAAGAACACTAAAGCAATAATATGCATCTTGCAAAAAAGTATACATTTTTATTAGCTGACCTGAGCCAAAGGCTCAAGTGAGATTTTCTGATTGAAGAGTGTCCAGTTTCCATCTGTCGTGTGTCGTCTTTCATATGTACACTTTTCAAATTTTCGACTTCTTCTCAATATCCATTGGACAACAACCTGCCACAAAACATCTTTCAGTGATGGGGATTTAAGTCTGTACACAGGAAGTGCCATGCCCTCTTTCAAGGGGATAATTAAGAATTTGTGAAAATTTGATGGCATCTTTGAAAAATCTTCTCAGGAAATACTGGGCCAGAAAAGATGAAATTTGTGCTTCATTACACACTGTGGATTCAAATTTGTTCAAGTCATGACCCCCAGGGGAAGGACTGGGCCATAACAGGGGATCAAAGTTTTACATAAGAATATATAGGAAATATCTTTAAAAATATTCTTCTCAAGAACATCAAAACCATTGTTAGCCATATTAATACTGAAGCATCCTTAGGTAGTGTAGATTGAAGTTTGTTCAAATCATGACCCCTGGGATTAGGATGGGGCAACAACAGTGATCAAAGTAGTACATAAGAATAAATAGGAAAGAGCTTTAAAAATCTTCTTCTCAAGAACAGCAAAGCCATGTTTAGTCAAATTTATATGAAAGCATCCTCAGTGTAGATTGAAGATTGTTCAAACCATGACCTTTTAGTGTAGGGTGGAGCCAAAAAAAACTGATCAAAGTTTTACATAAGAATATATAGGAAATATCTTTTAAAATATTCTTTTTAAGAACAGAAGCCCTGATCAGTCATATTTATATGGAATCATCCTCAGGTAGTGTAGATTGAAGTTTCTTTAAATCAAGACCCATTGGTGTAGGGGCAGAAATGGGGGATCAAAGTTTAACATAGGAATATATAGGAAAAGTCTTTAAAACTCTTTTCCCCAGGAACAGCAAAACCATAATTAGTCATATTTATATGGAAGCATCCTCAGGTAATGTAGATTCAAGTTTGTTCAAATCATGACTTCTACAGGTAGAGTGGAGCCATGAAAAGTGATCAAAGTTTTACATAATAATATGCATGTAATACATGTACATGTATGTAGGAAAAAGAATCCGCTGATGAAGAACAGAAGGGCCATAGATACTCAGGTAAAGGTTGTGGCCCCTGGACCTCTTGTTATAATGTAAATTACAAACATAACTTTAACAATTTTTAGATGGTTAGGCAGACTTGTTAATTATAGTTAGATAGAAATGAAACAAAAATACCTTTGTACAGTAAATGGTCTTCATAGACCAAAAGAGGCCAATGTGAGATGGAATGAGACGGGTTTACCAAAAGTGCTCAAGAATTATTGGTTTGTTTAGTTTACAAGATAATAGTTACAAATGTGGGCAGAAACAGGCAATTAAATAGATCTAGTTTAAGATTTATGAAGGAGTACTAGACTAATTATTTCTCTTGCTTTTGGGCAACATAGTTCATCTTTTACTTTGTTTTATTTTATGCTTTTATGGATCCTTTACAGTGTTATATTTAAAGTCAGGTGACCATTAAGGCCCTTGTACCTCTTGTCAAATTGCATTGTGGTCAAGGATGAGTATTATTTGTTTACCACTAGGTATTCAAGTATTTTCATAGAATTCCATTTCATTTCTAAGCCTGGAATGTTAATAAAAATTGATGTGCTGTAGTTTTTTTTATCTGCAGCACTTCTCAGTAATGAAATACATTTTCTGCAATTAATTGAAACATTCATCAGATGTGTAAAGTTTGACTTAATATAACCTTTGAGATATACATGTATTAAGCACGAAATTTCATAAGGGTTTATAAAAGCTTCCATGTTTGTCAATGGCTGTTTTTAGCTCTAATGGTGAAAGACCAGAAGAGTTGATGCGAAAGTAAGGTGTCTGTCGTCCGTCCGTCCGTCTGTCTGTCTGTAAACAATTTTTCAAAATGCTACTCCTCCTACAGTTTTTGTCTGATTTTAATATAACTTGGTACACAAATAGACTACACTAAGATACATAATTCTTTATATCGGTTTTTGATTTCAATGAACAGTGTTGCCATGGTTACTAAAAATAGAAATTTCTGTGAAATACTTTCAAATTGCCACTCCTCCTACAGTTTTGGTCTGATTTCAGTATAACTTGGCACACATGTAGAATACAATAAGATACGTAATTCTCTCAATCAGTTTTTGATTTCGGAGAACGGTGTTGCCATGGTTACTAAAAATAGAAATTTGTCTGAAATACTTTAAAAACGCTACTCCTCCTACAGTTTTAGTCTGATTTCAATATAACTTGGCACACAAGGAGATTACACTGAGATACATAATTCTGTGTATCCATTTTTATTATTTTTGGTGAAGTGTTGCCATGATTACAAAAAAATTGAAATTTCTTTGATATACTTTCTAAACAATACTTGTTGCCTGCATGGTGCAGTGGTAGAGCGTCTGTTATAGAGTCATTAGGATCAATTCCTTATTCCGCAGGCTCGAATCCCACTGTTGGACGTGGAGACCGGTCCTTTGGATGAGATTGTATAAACTGAGGTTCCATGTCACAGTAGGTGCTGGCATGAAAAAGATCCCTCACTGCTCAATGGCCCTGAGTGCCGAGCAAAGGTCAAAATTTGCAGCTCTCCACCGGCAAGTAGTGGCGTCTCCATATGAGTGAAAAACTTAAGGGACGTTAAACAACAAACAAACAAACAAAACATTACTTCGCCTACAGTTTGGTCTGATTTTAATATAAAGTGGCATGCAAGTAGACTACACTGAGATACAAAATTGTCTTTATTGTTTTGTTTTTTTTTATTTTGATGAATGATGTTGCCATAGTAACTAAAATCAAAATTTCTCTGAAATTCTTTTAAAAGGCTACTCCTTCTACAGTTTTAGTCTGATTGCAATTCATCTTGTAACAAAAAGAGAGTAAAACAAGGATTATTATTTATTTATTGCTGTTGCAAAGTTTCAAGTCCAAGTGCTGCTTTTCTCTTCCTTTGTTATAAGTTCAAACCAGTAGAGGAACATGCAGTCTTGACAGAGACTTCTGGGTTTTTTTTTTCAGTTTGATGATCCAAGTCGTAGACAAGAGATTGAGTTTTGGTCAACGTTTGCTGTCCTTCCATACTGGGTTATTACCAAATTTTGTTGGTCGTGGTTTGATGTACATTTCTGGATATCCATGCTAATGTTCTTCAATTGTGCTACTTTAACTTTTATTGAAGCTATAACTTTCAAAAAGTCATTCCCAATTCGAAAACAGTAAGTGTATACTTTATTTTATAATTGTATTGTGTATTTTTTCTTCAAGTTTTTTCCGTCATCTTATTTTCCTTATCGAAATTTTTTTTTAGTTTTGTTTGTAAAAAAAGTTCTTAAAATGATTCTCCTTTGATATTTGCAATTCCTTAAGGAAACGATATGAACGTTGAAGAAAATAGACGTTGACGAACCAAATGTATCCATCAACTATTGGTGATTTATCAGGCAGAGTTTAACGATAACAATATTCTGCAAAATTGCCAATGTTATATAACAACCGAATATTTTCAAATTTTCAAAATATCAGGACTTTGAAACAAGCACAAGCATTAATAAATATATTTCCTCTTGTCAGTATATGCATATTTTAGCTATTTTTAATGGATGGAATTTATGAAATAATTCGTTAACTTTTGATTTTGTTTCAGAAATTGTTTAGCCAGTCTTAAGAGTTACGGTAAAGGCTTACTGTCAATGGTATTCTTTGTTGTGATTTGGCCGGTCGTACCATCACTTGTCTGTGACTTTCTCTTCTATTCAGTTCTGTTTTTCACCCCTTACCACAACGTAGATAAAATACGAAAAGAACTGAGGTAGAAAAGTACAACCATAACGTTGCAGTTGACTACTTTTGAATCATTTTTTGAAGTACAGGACGATTCTATTTTTTGTTTAAATTTTCTCTGTTTATCTTTTTAACAACACGTCATACCATAATGGCCTTATATTCCTTCTTTTCTTGATTTGATGTTTCAAGAAGCTTTGTATGTAAATACTTTGGGATTTGCCTCTTTTATTTGTATCAAGACATATAAGACATAAAAATATTATTTAAAGGTATGGAATCCAATTTTATTTTACTCATATTTAAAATCCTTTTTTTTTATAACCTTGACTTTTAATGACATGGTTTAGGTGGTTTTGTTTTATTTATTTTTTTTATTTTTATTGATGTGGTATGTACCTGTATAACATTTTTTTTATATTAAGAGTGATATTTTTGAGATTTTTATGGAACTCTTGACTTCTCTCTGAAAAATAACAGGAGATGACTGAGCTATAAAAAAATAATTACCAGATTGTTAGACAGTATGTTGTCTCCTGGAAAAATGTCCAACGTGTTTATGAATGTTTTATTTATTAAGATTTAGTCTTCAGTGAGTGTTTGTATGATAGAATTTCCAACATATGTCAACATATTCTTTAAACAAGTAATTATGTATGAAAATTACTTGAAAAAAGCCTATTTGAAACCAGTTGTTAAATTTTCGTGTTTTTTTTAAAGTCAGCTGAGTCACTTAGGTGACCTATTGCTATCTGTTTTAGTCCGTCGTCATCAGTCGGGCGTCGTGTATTAATATTTGAACATTTTCAGCTTTTTTCTGAAACTGCTGAACCAATATCAGCCAATTTTAGCATATTGTCATTGGTAAACGGTAACAAAATTGTAACAAAGATCGTGATATCCCTGTGGGGCCTGAAGGGTGGGGCTAAAACCATAAAATTTGATGCAGTCTTGAAAAACTTCTCTTTTACTCCTGGACATCAAGCAGTTAAACTGTTGGCATGATTGTAATAAGCATTGATTCCTTTACCAAAAATTGTGAAATCCATGGTCCTTGGTTCAGGGGTTCTGGAGTTAGTGTGGGGCTCTATTGACCATACAGTGAGAATGTATTATTTCTTTAAAAATATTCTTCTCTTTTGAATATTTAGCAAACAAATAAGAGCATGGTTAAGTTGAGCAAGGATGCCTCTTCCAAAATTGTAAAATTCATGGCGCCAGGGTCAGGGGTTCTGGTGATAGGTAAGAGCTCTATTGGTCATATAGTGAAAATGCCAAAAGTCTTTAAAAACCTTCTTCTGTGCTCCTGGGTATTTAACAGATAAACTAAGTGCATTGTTATGATTATCAAGGATGCTTCTTCCAAAATTTTGAAATTCATATCCCCAGGATCAGGAGTTCTGGTGTTAGGGTGGGGCTGTATTGATTATATAGTGAAAATGTATGAATTCTTTGAAAATCTTCTTTGGTTGCTTTCGGTATATTAAGCAATCATAGTAAGTGCATTATTATGATAAGCAAAGACGCCTCTCCCAAAATTATGGAATGCATGACCCCTGGGATAGGGGTGCTTATGTTAGGGCGTTGTTGTATCGATTTTGAAGTGAAAATGCATAAATTCTTCAAAAATCTTCTTTCCCCAGGATATTAAGTAAACAAAGTAAGTGCATTGTTATGTTGAGCAAGGATGGCTTTCCTGAAATTGTGAAATTAATGGCCCCAGGGTCAGGGGCTGCTCTTGGGGGGGGGGGGATGTATTGATAGTATAGCGAAAATGCATTACTTATTTTAAAAATTTCTTCTCTGTTCCTGGGTATTTAGCAGATAAACTGAGTGCATGGTTATGATAAGCAATGATGTCTCTTCAAAACTTTTGAAATTCATAAGCCCAAGGGTTATTGGTTCTGGTGTTAGGGCAGGGCTCTATTGATTTTATAGTGAATATGCACAACTTCTTTGAAAGTCATAATTGTAATAAGCAAGGGTGTTTTACCAGATTTGTGAAATTCTTGACCACTAGGTCAAGTGTTCTGGGGCTGTGCAGGGCTATATTTATAGTGTAAGGAAATGTTTACTCTTTTTTGCTATTTACTTATGATAATTAATTTCTGAAAATAGTGTAATTGATAGATCAAATTGAATAAAGAATTAAACAAGAATTTTTACTATATGATACAAAGAGTACTTTCATAGTTTTAATGGTCATATAGACTTGTGAATAATAGATATATAAAAATGAGGCAAAAATGTCATACATATCATACATTATATACTCTTCAGAGACTAAAAGAGGCTAATGTCGATGGAATGTATAGGGTTTACTACATGTTCTTAAACATTTTTTGAATTGTTTTGTCTGCATGATGACAGTGACAGAAGGGAGTGTATAAGTACTTGCAAGTAAAAGGATCTACTTTATGATTTATAAATGAGTACTAAACTATAACTATTTTGTTGATTATCCTATTTTCTTTGTTTTAATTTGGGCAACATATCTTCATAAGTCAGTTTATTTTGTTTTATGTTTTTTTTGTGTTTTATTTTGTTTTATTTCGTAATTCAGTGGATCCTTTACAGTGTTGTTTTATACTCAAGTGATCGGTAAGGCTCTTGGGCCTCTAGTTTCAAATTCATAATTGTTATTAAGAAGTATCTGTCCTTATCTTTATTTTCAAATTCGACTTTGAAATTATTTTAAACATAAAATGTTGCTTTCAGAAATGGAGGGGATTAGTTATCAAGAAGTATTATCGTAGGTTACAAGTATTAACTTGTGGTGTATATTGTAAAATATATCAAAGTAACATGCACAATTAAAATCATTTTAATTTTTTCTTCAAGATTTAAAGGCATATTCTGATGAATGGAATGAAAAAGCAATTTTTATGTTCTTTTGAACAACGTGACTTTTTATGTGGTTCATATTAGTAAAAAGGTATTTTCAATTCTTCAGAAATTCTTCAATTAATATCTTTAAACTTAAATATTGATTTGAGTAACTGCGATTATATATTTTTCATTACCGGTGGTATTTATCATACACTGATTTTTTATATTCTAATCAAGATTGTAATTGATTGCTATTTGTAAAATTTCAGCAATAAAACTAATTAAATCAATATCACCTGTCTGAGTGATGATTGATCATTTATTTCTGATATCAAATATACATGGTGAGTGAAATATATTCTTCGCAAAATTATTATGAAAGTAATTTAGACATTTTTTGCATATTATATGTTTATCCAAAGGCATTTTGAGACTTAAATTGGGCCTCGCTTCTCTTTGCATTTTAAGGATAAGAGATCAGATTAAAGTTTTTGGAACAGATTCATTCCAGTGTAACTTCAAGCCTCACCTAGAATAAACATTCATGAATGATGCATCCGAGGATGCACATTATCGGACTTGTTTTAACCTTCATTTTTTGGATGAATGACCAGGTTAAAGTTTGTGGAGCAGTTTCATTCCAGTTTAATTTCAAATTCTACCTAGACCAAACTTGCAGGATGATTCGTGTAGGGATGTACGTTATGAGACTTGATTTGGATGCTTAAATTGACCTATATTTTCCAGAAGAGTGATCATTTTTAAGTTTTTAGAACAGGCTCATTTTCAAGTACTTGTAAGCCTTTTGGTGACAACTTGAATGGATGATGCATGTAGAAATGCATATTACCAGACTTGGTTCGGATGATTGAAAAGTTTTTGGAACAAGTCCATTCTATAAAAATCGTGCCCAGACCAAACTTGTATAAATGTTGTAACTAGGGATGCTCACATAACCAAATTTTGTTTAGCGGGGACTTAGTCTTGCTTGAAAAAAGAAATCGTTGAGGTGAGCTTTGTAATCTTGATTATCCATGTTAGCTAATAAGATTTTTATAATTGTTACAAACGTCAAGGATTAATGGCATCAAAACATATTTCAGTTCACAAAACATTTATCGATTGATTGTATGTTGTTTACGTCCCATTCGAGAATTTTCACTCATATAGAGAGGTCACTATATACCGGTGAAGGGCTTCAAATTTTGACCTTTACTCGGCACTCAGGGCCATTGAGCAGTGAGGGATCTTTATCGTGCCAATGCCTGCCGTGGCACGGGACCTCGGTTTTTAAGGTCTCATCCGAAAGACTCTCAACTTTCACTTCAAAGAACCAAGCGCATGGCGAAGGAACAGTTGCTACCCATTTTTTATCGACTTAGGTCAGTCGCGGCCGAGATTCGAACTCACGACCTCCCGATCACGGAGCGAGCGCTCTACCGACTGAGCTACCGTTCACAAAGCATTTAAAAATATTCATTTGTCTCTGTTTGGTCCATGTAACGAAAGCTAGAGAAAGACAATTTTACTCAAGACCTGTCAAGTTGAAGGTGGATAACTTTATAATGGAAAACATTGCAAGTTCATACTCCAAAAAATATTACTTATGTCCTGAAAGTGTGCCATGACTTTGAACCAAGATTATCTTGGCATATTCAAGGTCACTGGCAGAAAAAAATATATAATTTGTGTCCAGTTCATTATTCTCTTATACATAAGTATTTGGGGTTGAAACGTCAAAGATTGTTTGTGAGCTGAAGATAAAGCCTTGACATAAGGTCATTGCGGCAAGTTCAGTTTTTTTTTATTGGTTTAAAGGTTCCAATAAAATTTACTAATATTTGACTTCCGGAGATTGTTTTCCTGATCCAGATGTTTTTGATTTGAGTGGAAAAAGTAAACATATGCAAAACATCTGGAAATTTCTCGTTTTTTTTATTAAAGAATACGAGATATAATTTTGCGAAACTCATGAAAAACGTATTCTATTGCTTCTGCCGCAATAAAACTGTAGCACAAGGCAAAGAAAACTAATCGCACAATACCATTCCAAGTACACAGTCCTTCAAAATGAGGCTACGGATGAATACATTATTATACCCCCACTTTTGGAAGAAAGTTTGAGTACCAGTCTTGTAGAGTAGGCTTTCCCCTCATCTTCCTCCCCGAAAAACTGGCTCTAGAGTAGGATTTCCCCACGGAAAAATGACTCGAGTAGGATTTCCCCTACGGAAATTCCACATCGGATTAAATTTTCCGGAGAAATTCTACTCTGTGTAATAGTTAAAGAGTGCGATTTTCCGCAGAGCCAATTAAATATCTTGGCTGGACTTATGTATGGGAGGAGGGGGGCAACATATTGTTACAAGTGTCCCTTCTTCAAAATGGCGACCAGTTCCATTGAAACCTACAAAGTATGAAAATTGAAAATTTAAATCTCGTTTTTCACAGTA